ACGCACCCTGGAACAGGAAAGTAGAGCTCAAAACCCCTACTTTGTAGGTGTATTTTTTTCCAAACACCTCTTCATTCTGACCATATCTCTTTTCTACAGAGACAACTAGTTGCATGGGATAGTTGCTAGATTACTTTCAGTCTCTTCTGATTGAATGCTCTTCTGAGCATTCAAGTATAATATTTTTGAAAGTCTGTCTGCATTTTTTAAGACTGGATGGGAATTTATATGATTAATATAGCCAAAATCCTTCTTATCCCTAATAAGAAAACTTTCTAAATGAAAATCCCACCCAAAGCAAACATTTCCTTTTACTTATTCATTCATTCACTCAGCTGTATCCAATACAGTGAGTCTCAACTGAATCCTGGGCTGCACATTAGAGTTCCCTGAGCAACTCTTTAAAATGCAGATGCGGCCAGATGGTTCACACTTGTAATCCCAGCACTTTGGGAGGCTGAGGTGGGTGGATCACGAGGTCAAGAGATCAAGACCATCCTGGCCAACATGACGAAACCCCCATCTCTACTAAAATACAAAAATTAGCTAGGCATGGTGGCACACACCTGTAGTCCAAGCTTCTTGGGAGCCTGAGGCAGGAGAATTGCTTGAACCTGGGAGGCAGAGGTTGCAGTGAGCCGAGATGACACCACAACACTCCAGCCTGGGCCATAAAAATGCAGATGCCTGAGCCATACTTCCAAACAATTCTAACTTGATGGCTAGGGCCTGGACACTGGACTTCTTTTTGTTGGTTTGTTTTGTTTTTTTGAGACAGAATCTTGCTCTGTCACCCAGGCTGAAGTGCAGTGTCACCATATCGGCTCGCTGCAACCTCTACCTCTTGGGTTCAAGTGATTCTCCTTCAGCCTCCTGAGTAGAGTACAGATGTGAGCCACCACGCCTGGCTAATTTTTGTATTTTTGGTAGAGATGTTTCACCATGTTGGTCAGGCTGGTCTCGAACTCCTGACCTCATGATCCACCCACCTCGGCCTCCCAAAGTGCTGGGATTACAGGCATGAGCCACTGCGCCCAGCTGCACTGGTATTTTTTAAGCTGCTGCATGATAGTAACACGCTGCCAGGTTGAGAACTACTAAGCTAATATTCCTGAACATGTCTGATGTGCCAGTCACTGCGGTGGTGCTAAGGATTCGGTGGTTGAAATACTGCCACAGAAGGGGATAGCCTTCTGCCATCAGCATTCACAGGCCACACATACCCTCTCCTCTGTCTAGAATACTGTCCTTGTTCATTACATAATTCCTCATGCTTTGCATCTCAGATTAAATATCACTTATTCAAAGACATTGCTGCCCTTCTATCTAAATTGGCTCCCATATTGTTTTCCCTCAAGGAATTTTTCCTCTTTCCCTTTATGACACTTATCCCGGTTGTAATTACAGGTATTCCTCCACCATTGGAACACTCACAATCAAAACTCAGGACCAAATAGATTTTGGTAATGAGGAAGAACAGGCAGATTTACCTGAAGAGAATAAAGCTTCAGGGTTCTTGTGGTAGGCTGGATAGCAGTTTCTCAAACATGTCCACATCCTATTCCTAATCCCCAGAGTCTATGAATTTGTTGCTTTGTATGATAAAAGGGGCTTTGCAAATGTGATTAAGTGAGAGATCTTGAGTTGGGGAGATTATTCTGGATTATCCAAGTGTGCCCAATGTAATTACAAAGGTCCTTACAAGGAGACAGGAGAGTCACAGAGAAAATGCAGGGATGGCCAGGTGTGGTGGCTCACATTTGTAATCCCAGCACTTTGGGAGGCCGAGACAGGTGGATCACAAAGTCAGGAGATTGAGACCATGCTGGCCAACATGGTGAAACCCTGTCTCTACTAAAAATACAAAAAATTAGCCAGGCGTGATGGCGTGCGAAGGCTGAGGCATGAGAATCACTTGAACCCCAAAGGACGGAGGTCACAGTGAGCCGAGATCTTACCACTGCACTCCAACCTGGGTGACAGAGCAAGACTCCATCTCAAAAGAAAAAAGGTTATAAGATCTTAGGGCATTTCACATTTTACTGTGCTATGACTAATCCATAATTGTTAAATTGATGCCATTTATTAATCAGTTTGTCATTGATGTCCTCCTTGTGGTCGTGTGTTGAGTTTATAATGTCTTCCTTTAATTAGCAAGGAAATTAAAGCTTTTCCCAATGTATTCATATGATTCACTCCTCATTAGTTGACTCATCCAACAATCTGAGAGCCTCTCCATTACTTCTATTCAAATTTATCTCTTCCTCCTCATGAATTACCACTTTTGTTTGATAGGAAAAAAAAATAGAGATAGTGAACAGATTTTTTTTTCTGATGGAATTAAAGAAGTGAACTGCATGCTGCACATATTCTATGACTCCTTCATGTTACCACACCTGGGCACTTGGACACAGTGGCTGTTAGGAGCTGATATGGTTTGGCTGTGTCCCTGCCCAAAATCTCATCTTGAATTATAGTAATCCCCATATGTCAAGGGGAGGACGAGGTGGAGAAAAGTGAATCTTGGGGGCGGTTTCGCTCATGCTGTTCTCATGATAGTGAGTGAGTTTTCATGAGATCTGACAGTTTTATAAGGGGCTTCTCCCTTCGCTCGGCACTCATTCTGTCTCCTGCCACCCTGTGAAGAAGTGCTTTCTGCCATAATTGTAAGTTTCCTGAGGCTACCCCAGCCATGCAGAACTGTGAGTCAACTGTGAGTCAAGTTAAACTTCTTTTCTCATAAATTACTTCATGTTGAATATTTCTTCATAGCAGTGTGAGAATGGACCAATACAGGAGAGTTCATAGAAGCCATTCTTACACTCCAGCAATAATTTAATGCTGCGTGGAAGTGACCACGAGCCACATTAACATGCCCCATTAAATGAAACCAAAGTACCTCCAACTGCATTTCTGCCTGGCTGGATCCCAAAAATGCCTGTAGCCACTCCAATGTTAGTCAACCAGTAGAATAATACTCAGGAAGTCTGAGTGGAAAGAGACAAATCTTAATCAATTGTAGGCAAAGTATTTTAATTTTGCAAACTTTACAAAAACATTTGACCACGTGAACACATTTACAGACTGCTTCCCAGGGTCTTGGAAGGGGCCTGAGCAAGGAAGGGCTGTCTATTGGTATTCTATTGTCACTGTAACAAATTACCCTAAATTTAATCATTTAAAACAAGAATTATCTTACATTTCAAGAGATCAGAAGTCCAAAATCAGTTTCACTGAGCTAAAATCAAAGTGTGGGAAGTGCTTTCCTTCTGGAGAGTCTCTGGAGAATGGTTGCCATGCCTTCTCCAGCTTCTAGAGGCACCTACATCCCTGGCTCATGGCTCTTTTTTCCATCCTCAAAGCCAGCAAGTGTGGCACTTTTCTCCCTTCTGACTTCTGCTCTTGTCCTTGCATTTTATTTTTTTTCTTTTCCCTTTTTTTTTTTTTTTGTTTGAGACAAAGTCTCCTTCTGTCGCCAGGCTAGAGTGCAGTGGTATGATCTCGGCTCCCAGGTTCAAGCAATTCTCCTGGCTCAGCCTCCCCAGTAGCTGGGATTACAGATGTGTAACATCATGCCTGGTTCATTTTTGTATTTTTAGTAGAGATGGGACTTTGCCACATTGAGCAGACTGGTCTCAAACTCCTGACCTCAAGTGATCTTCCCACCTCAGCATCCTAAAATGCTGGGATTACAAATGTGAGCCACCTTGCCTGGCCAGATTTTATAATTCTTACATGAAATAAATTTAATAGTGATTTCCTCCAATATGACAATAGTCCTAAACCTTTACACAACATTTTCAAGAACAAACTATTAAACGGCAGATGGTTTTTGAATGAATGGATTATGAGACACCCTAGAGCAGGGGCGTCCAATCTATTGGCTTCCCTGGGCCGCATTGGAAGAAGAATTTTATTTATACTACTAACATCAACAATTGTTAATATTCGTGTATTTTATGTGTGGCCCAGTTTTTTTTTTTTGCAAAAAAAATAAAACCTGCAAAATCTCATAATGTTTCAAGAAAGTTTATGAGTTTGTGTTGGGCTGCATGCAGCCTGCAGGTGTGGGCCGTGGATTGGACAAGCTTGCTGTAGAGAGTGGCTTGGTTGGATGAGGGTGCTAGAATTCAGAGGATGGTCAGTGTGCAGTGGGAGTTGTCTTGGCTGTAGGACTGGAGTTGGTAAACTGAAGGAAAAAAAAAACTAGTTTTTCATGAAAGAATGTTTTCAGTATTATGAATGTCCCAGCACGCTTTTAGTCTTGGCTGTACATGTTGCAATAAGTCAAGGAACCCTACAAAGTAGGATGGAAAGATTCAAAGTGTGAATGGCTTGAACCCGGGAGGTGGAGATTGCAGTGAGCTGAGATTTCGCCACTGCACTCCAGCCTGGGCGACAGAACGAGACTCCGTCTCAACAAAAAAAAAAAAATTCAAACTGCTTTTGAAAAAAACAAAATTGCAGGGTTATATTTTAGAATTAGAGCAGTCCGCCATTAGTGGCTATTTCTAATATGTCCATCTGGGGTCTACAGAAGATCTACCTAGCAGCAAGCAACTATTAATTGATGTTTATAGCACCTAATAAAATTCCCTTTGCCTCTGAAGTCCCCATTTAGCTAAGGGGATGGGATGTGAATTTAGAATAGGAAGTGAAAAGTGCAAAATGCTCCCGGACTCAGATCGGATAAACCTCTTCTAGGCTGGCTTTCTCTTCGGAAGCCCCAAGTTTTGATGCTTTCCCTAATTCAGAGCAGGCTCTCCCACAATCTCTGACTCAGAGCAGGCCAAACCACCGTGCGGACCGCCCACCTGCAGGGGGCGCTCCGGGGCCGCGGCGCCAGGCCGCTCTGGCCCAGCGGGGACTCCGCCTGCCCCTGGCCGGCCCCTCCCCTCCGCCCGTCGCCGCCGCGGAGTAAGCTGCTGCCGTCTTTGCTGCTCCGTGGAGTCGCAGGTACCTGACCTCGGGCCCGTGGGCAGCGCCAGGGCGAGAGCCACTTGATACCTCCCGCAACGTCCCTGTAGGACTGGAGATCCAGTAGGCCTGGCCAAGGGTCCTGAGGAGAGAGGGTGCCCGAGCTCCCCGCACCTCCGCGGCGACTGGAGCGAGCCGGGCCGAGGAAGCGAGCGCGGTTTGGTGAGGGCGTTTTCGCGGTCTGTGTGTTCCCGAGGGCTGGGAGAGGCCTGCGAGGGTTTACGTTTGCGCTTGCGGGTTATGGCTGTGGTCCCGGGAGCCCCGGGGCGGCGCTGGCTCGCGGTTAATCCGGAGGTGGGCACGGAAGCCCCGCGGCAGGTCCAGCTGCTCGGCCGGGGCGAGACGTTGCTGTTGCGGCGTGGGCTTGGAGGAGCCCAGAGTCCAAGCGCCAGGACAAGCTGTTGGGGTGTGAGTGAGCTGTCCAGAATGGCACACAGCACCGGGGTGCCTGTGTTAAACGGCAGGATTTGCACACCTTCCACTTAGGGCTCAGGTAATCGTAAACTTCCTGTCTTAATTGACGTGCAATGCTAAGAAGCAGATCGTTCGTTCTCTCAGGTTTTCCCTACAGTACCTCAAGGGAAAAACGTTTGTTTTTTAAAACGTTCCACGGTATTCGGAGTTGGCTACAGAACATCGTAAAGTAAAAATATGCCATTGAATAGTAACGCTTCTCACTCTTGAAAAAATGACAGTGGTACCTAGGTTCTTAAAGAGCTGTAATATGAGTGGTGTGGGGATTATTTTTATGTTCTAGTAATAGCTGTTTTCTTTTCTTTCTTTTTATTGCATACGGAGTCTCGCTCTGTCGCCAGGCTGGAGTGCAATGGCGCCATCTCGGCTCGCTGCACCCTCCGCCTCCTGGGTTCAAGCGATTCTTCTGTCTCAGCCTCCCGAGCAGCTGGGAGTACAGGCGCCCACCACGCCCAGTTAAATTTTGTATTTTTAGTAGAGACGGGGGTTTCACCATGTTGGCCAGGATGGTCTCGATCTCTTGACCTCATGATCCTCCCGCCTCGGCCTCCCAAAGTGCTGGGATTACAGGTGTGAACCACCGCACCCGGCCAGTAATAGCTATTTTCAGTGATTATTTTATGTCAGACATGGTGCCATTGCTTTTAATACCTGGCACCTTTATTTAATCCTTGAAGCAACCCTATCAGGTACCATTTCCATTATACAGATAAGGAAACTGAGCCGCCGAGAGTCTGACTTGTCCAAGGTCAGACAGCTAGCGAAGGCTGAGCGAGATTTGGCCTCATCTCCCTTACTTCAGTATCCCTGCTTCTGTTATCTAGCCAAACATGTAGTGCTAACAGTTTTGTTTATCAATTAGATTTGTAGCCTGAACTGATTTTTCTCTGGCTTAGTTTTCATGGCTATATGCAGAAGTCCTATATGAAGTCCTTTTTAATTTAAAAGGAGTTTAATAAGAAAAATGTTATCGCATTAAGGACTATAGTGATAATAAAGTTAAACTTGGACTGGGATTCTCATTATGCCAGTACAGTTTTGATTTGAAATAGAGATGGATTTATTTGGTTAACACACTTTATTACTTTTCTTCATTATTTATGTTTCCATACCATTTTTAGTGAGTTCACTTTGCCTTTGCATTGTTATGATAGCAGTACCAGAGGGAAATCAAAGATTTTTTGATGATAGTAAGTTAATATTTTACAGAATGTAGGAGAGGCATTGGAGGCTGTGAAGTGATGAGGAATTTTTGGCATGTTATTTAGAGCAAATTGTGTTACTTTGGAAAATAAAGGTTTCTCACAGTTCTTTGTCAAAAGGGGAAATTGTATTTCCCATTGTGGAAAGAAGTTGGGTTTTGTAGTCCCAGACTTCTTAACCTTGTCTACTATAGATTTAAGAATTTGCATATTCAGCATTCACACAGCAAGCATATGTTCAGTGCCTTCCATGGCCAGGCTCTCTTGTAAGCACTGGGGATATGAGAGTGAACAAAATGAAGTCTTTGTCTTCCACGAGCTAACATGTCACTGGAAGAAGGTGGGGGTGGGAACAGTAAACAACATTTGTGAAAGTTAACTTGTCTCTAGTCACATGGTAACAGTTGCTAAGAAGAAAAATAAAGTAGCAAAGGGGGATAGGAAGCACCAAGGAAGGGACAGGCGCAGTCTGGTGCCATGGAAAAGAGCAAAACTGAAGGCATGGGGGACTGCCATGCAGCTATCTAGGGAAAGAGCATACCAAGCAAGGGCAAAAACCCAGAACCCATGAGTCTTGTTGGAGGAACAGCAAAGGGGCCAGTGGCTTTGAGCACCTGGAGGGAAGGAGGATGAGACAAGGTTAGAGAGCTAATGGGCTCAGGTAAGGACTTTTGCTTTGAACTCTGAGTGAGAAGGGAGGTGGTTGGAGGGTTTTGAGCAGAGGAGTGAGGGGATCTGGATGAAGGTTTTCAAAAGATCACTCCGGTTGCTGTGTTAGAGTTGCTGGAAACAGGGAGATCTGTTAGGCTGATGCAGTAATTGAAGCCAGAGAGAATGGTGGCTTAGACCAGGTGGGTAGTAAGAGAGGCAGTAAGCAGCCTTCATATTTTGAGTATCGCTGATAGGATTTGCTGATGGTTTGGATGTGCTTATGAGAGAAAGGGTGATGCATGACCCTGTGGCCTTTGTCCTGAGCTGTTGGAAGGCTTTTGTTACAGTGTACCGAGATGGAGAAGACTGAATGTCAAGGTAGGTGGAGCCAGTTTTAGTCAGGTTTGAGATGCCTGTTCAAGTGGGGTTATGGAGACTTGAGTTGAGGAGAAAGGTCCAGCTGGAAATAGAAATTTGGGAGTCACTAATGCAAGCTTGTCCAACCCAAATTTGTAAACTCTTTGAAAACATTATGAGATTGTTTGCATTTTTGTTTTTAAGTTCATCAGCTGTTGTTAGTGTAACATGTGTGGCCCAAGACAGTTCTTCCAGTGTGGCCCAGGAAAGCCAAAAGATTGGCCACCCCTGCACGGAAGGGTGGTATTTAAAGCCATGAGCCTATGAGATCTAGTGTAAGGAAATGAGGATTGAGCCCTAGGGCTCTCCATGTTCAGAGATTGGAGAGATGCACAATTACAAAGGAGACTGCAGAGGAGAGGCTTTTGAAGGTAGGAGGAAAAAGACTTGAGTATGGAGTACTGAAGGCCAAGTAAAGAGTGTTTCAGGGAGAAGGTAGCCAGCTGTGTCACCTCCTGCTGATTGACAAGTCAAGTAAGATGGAGACCAGGAGATGACCATTGGATTTAGTAATAGGAAGGTCTTTGGCGACCTTGCGAGAGCACTTTCAGGAGACAGCGAGGAAGAAAACCTGGTTGGTGTGATTTCAAGAGACAACAGGAGGAAAGGAATAGGAGACTACAAGTACGGGCAGCTCTTTGGAAGAGGTTAACTATACATTTTTTGTTTACCAGTTATTTGAAAGCACTGTCTTAAATCCCATAGTAAATAATTTTTATTTCTAATTTAAGCTACTGATTAATAGCTACTACACCTGGATTGTTTTATCAATGACTGGTGGAAATAAAATAGCTATACTACTGCTAATCATAATAATTATACTTTCTAAACCAATAAAGCTCATCCCTTTTATGTAACACATTTCAGAGCCCATAAAAAGGCTTGGGTGGGCTGGGTGCAGTGGCTCATGCCTATAATCCCAACACCGTGGGAGGCTGAGACTGGAGGATCTCTTGAGCTCATGAGTTCGAGACCAGCTTGGACAACATAGGGACAGCTCATCTCTACAAAAAATTTAAAAATTAGCTGGGCGTGGTAGCACACACCTATGGTCCCAGCTACTTGGAAGGCTAAGGTGGAAGCACCTCATGGGCCCAGGAGATTGAGGTCACAGTGAGCCATGATTGAGCCACTGCATAGTTGGAAAAGGTAGTAAGTGTGTAAAAAGAATGCAATTTTTATCTTAAGGCATGAGTTCAGGTTCTTGTTTCTGCCCTCAGCAAGTTAATGTCCAAACTCAAATACAAAATAATCAAGGTATGCAGTAAAATACCAGATTCACACCATCCTGATAGGACAAATGTATCTTTTCCATAGCAAATACAGCCATCTGTTGCATTGTAGATGTAAAATGATTAGAATATTTCAAAGTTTAAGGTTATGTCTATGGATTTTTTAAATCCATTAATTTTATCTAAAAGATGACAGGTCCTTTATACATTGAAATCTGTTTTTTTGTTTTTTTTAGCTGAGGAAGATATTAAGTTGGTGCCTTTTGTTTTGTTCTTGTGTTTTTCTCTAGGGATTTTTCATGGGTTGGCTCTCCTTTCTAGTTCTCTTAGCTGTCATTTCACACATTCTTTCTCATTTTTTTCTTTTGAATAGCTTCTTAAGTTAGACCCTTCCATCACTGATTTCCTTACTGCTTGCAATTTGGATTTTAAATTTTTATTGTGTTTTTATTTAACTCATAGTCTTTTTTGTAAAAGTCTCAGTCGTCTCTAATACTATTTTTCCCCCACCCTGAGTTCTTAATTTTTCGTATGTCCCTGAGAGCACAGTGTTTTTCTGGATTTTTTTTTTTTTTCAGTTTCTTATTGTAAATAATTCTCAGTGGTATGCTTTTCTTCTTTGCTTATGGTGTAGAATTTTTTTCAGACTCCATGTTGACTTTCTTTTGTTTTTTATCCTTTAAAAATGAAAGAACCTTTGAGACTATAACCATAATATTGAATTTGTCATACTAGTACCATTCTACTAAAGATTTTTTTCTAGATTTCCTATAAGGAAAATAGAGAATTGGGTTTTGTCTAGGCATTCTATAAAAGACACTATTGTGATGTTTGTAAAAGATTTCTATTTAAAATAACTTTTCATTATTATTAGAACTTAAGTTTATGGTTATGTCTTTGTGATAAGTACTTTTTTTTTTTTTTTTTTTTTTTTTTTTTTTT